AACAGATTCAAATACCACCAGATACACTCTATTACACAATAGGTACGGCTAGAAACAAATAGGTGCATATAACATAAATCAAGGTAGCCGTTAACACTGTTAAATCATATATAAATCATCAAAGAAAGGTAAATACAGTGTTCGAATAAAGGACATAATAATACACCGTGTAGCATAGCTCTCAACGAATGTAGTCCTGCAAATAAATGAATAAAGAAATTGTGTAATAAAATGCCTCTGGCGGGATATAGCTATTGTTTCCGCCACGGTATACGGTAAACTTATTTTTTAAATGGTCCTCATATTCACACCCTACTTCGGATCGCGACCAAAATTTAAACACTTCTTCATTAAAACATGAGAAACTATTCTGAAAAGTGTCATTTTGAACCATTGATCCATTCTAGAGATATTTAGGTCTGGGACCAAATGGCCCTCACATGCACACACGACTTTGGATCGTCACCAACACTTCAAAATGTCTTCCTTGTAACTTGTTGGTTAAACTTTCACGTAAGTTTCATTCAGATCATTTGAATGGTCCTCATATCCACACCCTACTCCGCATGGTCACCAAGATTAAAACAATTTTTCATCGAAACATGACAAATTATTGTGGAAAGGGAAACTTAAATCAGTTGATTATTCTTAGAGATATTTAGGTCTGGGACCTTAGGATTTTATTTGACTCTCAAATTCACACCCGAATTTGGATCGTCACATACACTTAATAATGTCTTCCTTGTAACTTGTTTAAACTTTCACCAAACTTTCATTCATCTTGTCTAGAACGTTTGTTCTAAGATCCTTTAATTGGTCCTCACATCCACACCATACTCCGGACCGTCACCAAAATTTAATCGTTTCTTCATTGGGTTATACCTAACACTCCATTTATTTTCAATTATGTTTGTGCAGCCGTTTTTTAGATAATTCGAACACACAAAAAAAGATACACAAAACACGAAAATGTTGCACACACACACACACACACACACACACAAACATATACGACTGAAGACATATATCTCCTGGCGGAGATAACAAATAGCACCTAAAACCCACCACACACTTAATAAAATTAACAATTTTCTTGAATCTCTCTAATATACATATATATATGGAATGAGGTAAACTATTTTTGTAGGCATAAATGTAATATCTTGTTAAGAAATAATAGAACTTGTAATACTTGTGTCACCAAAACTAATACTTCACTGTCTAAAATGAGTAAATTTCTTGTTACTTCAAACACAAAATCTTTCCCAAAAACCCACAGAGGGAGGCACATATTACAATGCACAAACATATGAAGTAAATTATCTTTCTCTTTTTTGCAAGTCGGAATCAATTAACCGATCTTGTAGAATCTCTCATTTGTAAAAATAATTTTATGCAGATATTTAAAATTAAAAGTACCCATGTCTGACCATTTCAAATTCACTTCATTTATGTCATTTGTAATATTTGCTACAATAGCGCGATAAACTTTATTGCATGTTCTTTTATTTTTAAGTTCCGATTCATGACAATAAATATCAGGTTCATCAAGTGTTTCTTGATTTTCATTGAGAATAATTTTCCAATTCATTGGGAATGCAGAATCGCACTATATAACAAAAATCAATTTTAATTAGATACTCTGCTTCAAGATCACACTGAGCCTTAACTGTCAAACAACGTAGGCTGTCTAAAATTTAATGCATGTTTTATACAAGTCATTCAAGATATTTCATTTTTGTAATTACTCTTCATAGATCAAAATAAACTGGAGAATATCATGGGCAAGAGATCGTGTTCCTTGCGATGAATCAAATATCAACAATGACAAATTAATTGAATATGGTCTGCATGACAGAGAACGGTACTACCTTAGATGCACAGGAGAATGCTTGAATATCACCGATATACTACTGAGATTTTATTGTACCGATTTCAGCGAAGATGAAAACTGGTCTACTGGCTTACATTCAGCAGAAGTTGAAGAACAAAATCCTGTATTTAACATGAAGTAAATTCAAATCAGCAAGCATCTCAGTCAGTGGCGGCGCTACGGGGGGGGGGGGGGATTCCTCCACCCCAGAAAATGTTATTGTCCCCCACCCCCCAGTTTTCCCCCAAAAAAGAAGAAAAACCACAATTAGTCGGGGAGAAAAAAATATACCGATATGTATTCTCTACATATTAGTAGACTATCTAGGCCTATCTATAAAATCGATTAAATAAGCCTCTGAAACCCCTAAATTGTCATATGTTTCGGGGG